AAGTCTGGGAAAATCTTGAAGCCCGCCAACTCTGTGCATTGGGGGAGTTCTGAGTTCAGACTCATGAAAGTAAATCGCAACTGCTCGTCCCTCCGTGCTTATCTGTCTGGTGAATTAGTTCTGTGCAATGCTAACCTGGGATAACTTTTGTTGCTCAGTCTTTTCTACACTTCTACCGGCACTATTTGAGGTTTTTTTTTCAATCTTTGAACTCAAATCGCCGTAAGAATGAGTTGCTTTACTGTACAGTTTCTCGTGTTTTGTTACATACTCTATTGGATGTGTCTGCTAAATGCCATTTTCCTGTCTAAGCGGACCCTCTAGGCTCTACAGCGTTGCCTGGTGAATTTGAAATTTAAGAATAACTTTGGTTACTAACATTTTTCGCCGCATGAGTGTGAGTCTAATTTTTGCAGTTTCTGGGTACTTTTGAATTTTTATGTTTTGCTTAATCTGTGGGTGATCGGATTCGATACTGTAGCATTTGGAGGATGCCTCCTGGTTAGTTACCAGGGCTGCCTTTATTTCTCCTGAAATGTGAGTGGCTGTCGACTTTGTAGTTTCTGTGTGGTTTCCCAGTGCTTGTCTGTTAATGGAAGTTGTTTCCGCTCTTGTTAATTAATCTGAAAAATCTACTATGTTCTTTATCTTCTTTCCTTTGCTCAAACGCCTTGTCTGCTGGAAGTACATTGTCTTCACCTAACTGGCCCCTTTTGGTTTGTGGAAAGATATTTTCCGACAGACCGTGAGTGCATGCGCCCCCACAATACGAACGACTTGGGTGATAAAGTCTCTGTCTTTCTCTGTTTTCGTTTCTAATAGTCAAAAGAAGCCCACCGACCTGCTGTTTGTGTCATCGTCGAATACGCATATGCCCGACTCTAGTTTATTTTTATTTGTGTTATGCTTTGATTAATGTCCCTGTATAGTTTTGAACTAACTGCACAATCCCAATCAGGTATTTTTGGACACTTGTCATCGTCCATAAATCGTGAAGCAGACCTGTACTTCACCAGCCCCACTTTCAGTTCCAACAGCAAGCCAATATGGGTGGAGGTATGCGTGGGCTCAGGGATTGATGAGACCAAATGACTCGCCCGCCTCTGCGCACATGACCAGGTTCCTATCCCCACACCTACCAGACTTCAAAAGGTGAATATCCAATGTCATTTATGGTAGGGGCACCTAAGGGTGGCATCGCCAAGCTATCACCTTTTAACTCCCGTTTAGGAGGGATTCCGAGTTATCACATCAACTGACAGTCTTCAGATATTTTGGCGAGTGGCGCCTTAACACATCTGTTTAGACGTAAATATACGTTAAGCCTCTGACCCCTTTCACACTCATAAACTTTTTAAGCGTCGGTGATGTCAAAAAACACTATCACGCTGTGCTCTCTAGGCGGCAAGCCTAAGTTTACGTCCTTTGAAAGAGTTAGCCAAATAATAAAAGGTCATTCTGAGAAGTTAGATTTGCATAACTTTGAGGGCATTAGAGCTTCACCACTCGCGCGGCTAGTTTACAGTTTGCCCTGAAACCCAAGTAAACTCAATCGAAATTCTGAAAAATAAACATTTTTCTTAGTTCGATCCGCAATATTGACAAGGGAGTGCCGCGCAAATAGGTTGTGTCAGGATGGCACGCAATTATGTTGCTCCCTGGCTGTCTGCGACGCAATAATATAGCCTATGTGGGACTGGTTTGTCTGTTTTTTTTTGAAGAAAATTTGCATACAGACCCTCTTATAGTTGTTTATATGGGGTTTTATATTTCGAGTTAGTCAATTACCTCGGTCTCGTCCGCCTCTTAAAACGTAACCATATTCACAAAATTCTCGTAACCTTCCATAGCATTTGTCAGTCCTTAAGGACGTCAACTGACTTCCTACAAACAGATGAAGACAATATAATACCATACAATACCTCAACGACATCCTGTATATTTTGCTAAATTCTCGGTAGAAATCCTTCAGAACGCAATCCTTTAATTCTCTTTCTAGGATTCCCTGCCCAGTAAATGCAATTATATGGTTGGGTGGGCCACTGTTTTTAACGTTAGTGTTCATTAGGCTGCCTTGCTCTGTATGGTCTTCCTGGCGTTGTTTCTTTGTCTGATCTTGCACAAGGCATAACAGAGAGCCGTGGTTCCAAGGTATGGCCGTTAGTTTTCTCGTCCTCTGAATTGGCATCTGATCCTGTGTCTGGATGTTCTGAAGATCTGTTTGATTGCTGCAACAACTTTCTGGGCTTTGGAAACTCAACAAAAAGTACATTTCTTCATATGTTCAGTTCACCGGCCCTTCTCGTTTGTCGGTCGGTGAAAATGGTTAAGTAATCCTTTTTGAAGATTGGTGGTCTCGAAGTCTCTTCTTCCAGTTTCCTGCAGGTTTTTCAGCCCGCTGACAGGCCATTATCCAACTCCCTCTGACAAGATTTCGGAGATTGGTCAACCCATAGATGTGCTCGTCATTTGCTGGTACTAGCAATGATTCCACCAACGTTCAATTTCAAAATTTTGAGTGTTTTTGTGGTCTTTCTTCAAGTCTCAGCAAAGCCCTCAGTACCTTTTAATGAGCCTCGGACGGTCCGTCTTTCCCTCCTAAGTCTGATAAACGCTAGCTGTTCTACTTCATGATCGGTCGAAAATGCCTGTAAAAACTAATCCGGCGGATTTCAGGTAGCGCGTAGCAGAACAATCTTACGTTTTTGCATGCTTTGTTCCACCCGGCCAATTTTATTTGGTTAAACACGTGGTGATCTGGCGTGCGCGCTGTGACTCACGGTTTTTTTCAGCCTGCCGTCGGAATCGTCGGATATTGACTTCGTTCTCATAAATTTGCCTACTTTATCCACTTTGATTATTAACAGTGAAGGGTTGCCAACTGACTGGACAATTTGTCCTGCGAGACTGAAAGACAGCTCTCCGTGGCACCGCCATGACCTGAAAGCTGATCTTACTGACGATGTCCGAATGCATGAAGTCCGCCTTTCGTTATTTAAGGGGGGGGGGAGGGGGGCGTGCAAGAGCGAGGCGAGGGGCGACTGACCTGCTACGTCACTCTGCTAAATATTTTCTCCAGTCGGCTTTACGCAGTTGTGTTACTGAGGCAAAACTTGAGGAGGGAGAAGACTTGGCTCATGTGTCCCGACCAAATATTCGCATCACAGTGCACAAAAACCGATGGCTGTCGACTTTGCTGATTTCTCTGCGGCTCCCCGTCCTGTTCATCTTGAGCCCCCATGGTGACCAGTGTAGCTGGACGGCAGAAATTATCCCTCTACGGTTCGCCACCACTTCATCATTGCTCAACTTCTAGTTCACCACAATCCCTCTCGAAGTTTTGCTATTCAGGCTGGAGTTCAGCGAGGCTGCATTCTGCCACTCATCTCGTTTGACGGCGTCTGAAGAGCTTTACGCGGTTTTAACGATGTAATATTTGCATCCAACTACCGTTTGGCTGATCTAATTGGTTCTGTTCGCAGGCTTTCTCAATCCTTGGAAACCGTTTGCGGACCCGTAGCCACATCTTTATTGCGACAAAGAGCTGATTGCGTCAGACCCTCACCCGGTCATTCTTGCACGATTGTGAATGCCGGGCTGTGCGCGTGGAAGATGAACAAACACTGGAAGCTTCTGACTATTGTTACCTAGGAATCATCCTTCGGATAATATACACGGACTCCGTCTCGAATTAAACTATCCGCGATCGCTCGAGCATCTTCAGGAGGATATATTAGGCCATCTGGGAAGGAACACCAAGGTCCTTTGGTAGTTTTTGTCGTCTAACGCATGAGCTCGATGCTGCTGTCCTTGGTTTGCCATCGCTTCCGACTCAGGGGGGGGGGTGACGAAGAAGTCAACTCAATACCTGATCCATCACAGTCCGTCAGAACAGAAATGTAGTTCTTGGACCTTTGATACTCGACATCGTCTCGGGAGTGGGGAATGGATCATACTTCTCAGGTGCGCTGTCACAAATCGTCACGCATGTAGAGTTACAATCTGGAGCATCGTCGAGACCGGTAGGCTCAAGCATAATCGCAGTCGCACCAAGTACAGGTGCAAGAGAAAGAGTGACACTTGTATGGTGCAACTTTTCTTCACTATAGCCAATTAAACGCAACTTTGCGTTAATAGGATGTCCCGCCAATTCTGCCCGGGAAAGTTATTACCTAGTGAAATAACTCGATTCTTGGGACTGAGGGGCAGTTCGAAATCGTCCCTTTATGTGGCCTTATGGCGGTTCACTTTGGTATCATAACCGGCTAATAGAAGTCTGATTTGTATCGGTATCATATAATCGGCGGGACCGAGGTGCGTTATTGGCAACTGGGCGTAATATCTCCCGCGGTTTTAATCCCTCGGCTGGAAGCTGGAATACATCCCAGGCGGAAGGATTTCTGACTACACTGGAATTCCTATGGTCAGCATAATCAAAGTTAATTGTTATGCATTAGTGTTGCATAGTATAGCAAGCTCCGTGTAAATAATTGTTAATATTTTGCGTTGAAAAGGCCCGCCTTGCAGCCTAGCAGAAACGTTGCTCAAAAGACATTGGGCTCTTCTGGCAACTCAGGTAGTCTCACACTTGACCGGAATTCGAGAGGTCGGCGACTCGAGTGTTTCCTAGGGCGCCGCTGTCGGATGTTGTTGATTTAAAGAACGATCTGCCTCCTGCAGTGCGTCCCCAGGAATTGTCGGGCATGGGCCAGTGTTGCCAAATCCTGCAGCATTGTTGTTTTTTTCCGGATAGTGCAACGCGAAGTTGTCAGCCCCAGCAGTACTATCAAGCTGCCCTTGTTTACCGGCTGTTTGTCCACATCCCACTCGAGGAATGAGTTCCATTTTGTGTCCACAAACTTTCCCCGCCACTGAGGGGGGGGGGGACGAAAAGTCGAATCCTCCGATCCCACTCACCCTCCAACTTTCTGTTCACACGATAATTCTGGCCTTCATTTTGTTGCAGCACATGCGATTTCAGCGGGGCGCTCCCTCTCCACATGAACTCCGATGACTCGCCAACGGATTTCAGCGAGACCGAGATCGCCCCTGACCAGTCGTCGGAGACCTTCTACTACAAATTGCATCCGGGGCGCAATATCTTCTTTTGTAGAGGTCATGGTGTAATGAGCCGGCAGATGGGTGTCTTCTATCTCACAGTATTCCTCATCGTTGGTGTGAGTGCGCTCTTTTTTGCCTTCGATTGTCGCTATCTGGCGGTGACACTGAGTCCAGCCATAGCCGCATTTGGCGCTCTTCTCTTCATCTTCGTAATGGCAGTGCTCCTGCGTGCCAGTTGCATCGACCCGGGCATTATCCCTCGAGCCACCGTTGCGGAAGTTAAATGGGCGGAAGGTAATGTCTTGTCACGTCCCCTAGATACCTTTTTTTGCCCTTCTTCCTTTCTGTGACTTATTTCGTCAACTTTGCTGTGGAGTGCCCCTGATTGCTAGAGTAGGATGTTTCGGACCTAAAAGAGGGCACATCTTTAGAGGCATAAAGGCGGGGCGAAGAAGGACGCAGGGGAACTGGTGGGTATGGATGGAGGGGTATGATATTTCGAGGGTGTGATTGCTACACAGCCCCGTGCCTGATTATTTCCGGTTCGATCCAAAATGGCCAGACGCTTAGACCCCATCGCGGACGTTGGGAGCTTGTATGACATGGAGATGGCAGCCCCGTTCATTAGTGCCGTCCCAGAAAGGATTGCTTATTGCGTCCTTGTGTCTATTAATACCGTTTGCGCGATTAATTGCCTATACCGGCGCCACACGTTCTGAGAAGGGTCGTGACGTTCATTGACTGGTTCCAGTGTTGAAAACCACGACTCTTTGAGCGTGAAGGTTCAGTCTGCCAACATTACACCCACCTGCGTCTGCCTCCGATTCGGTCTCTGGTAACTACTTTGGAATTAGAGCCGAGGCTTAGAACTAACAAGCTCACGACAGTTCGACCGATGATGTCCACCGCGTGCCCTGCAGCAGGGTGGGAGTAGGAGTAGTTACTCTCGGGTGACTTAGTCTATATCCATAGTAGACTTGCACAGCGTCTACCGCACTCCCTCCTCCTCCCTCGCCTCAGTCCGGTGTCATGACGGAATCAAGAAGACCGATGGCGGAAGAGGGCGCAGGCGACTGACATGGCGAAGACCCGAACTTTGGCGTACCACTACACCCTCTGGTCCACGACGTAAACACAACAACAATAAGAGGAAAAGGGAAGGGGGAACAACTCGGATCTCGATTGGTGCGCCGTGTACCTGCGCCTGGGCGTACTGCCATATTTCCAATGTTGGAATTTGTTATGAGGGCGCATTGCCGATAGCGCCTGCCAGGCCCCGACCCAGCCCCCCTGTTGGTCCAGCGCATCTACCTCGAGGCCCGTTTTAGGGGCACACCGTTTCTATCGCCACGCTGGAGTATCATATTGAATTCCTGGGATTCAAGAAAGAAATCATTACCCAGTCGAGAGTCTTTGATGGGACCCCGACGGGTCTTTAATAAAAATTATCCATCTATCTATCTATCTTGCCGGCGACGCAAATTTTAGCAAGTTTATTAGATGAGCACGCTGCATGTCAGGGTTTCCGATCGTGTTTGGCGTAATCGTAAGGAATTTTCCCCATCGGACCTGTCTATGATGGTGGTAAATGAGGTTTCATGGTAAAGAGGCTTTTTTAAGACACCTAATGCACCGTACGAATTAAGTGCTGTCTCGAGACAAGCCTAATATTCTCAGTCTTACATGTGCATTTACACCTGCTCCTGAACCGCTACCACTGAACATATCATTTTTGGCGTCCACAAAAACGCTATTTCAAGTGTGCACACTTGAACAATACAGTTTTTTGCACCTGTTGGTTAAGATGGAAGCACACCTCCAGCACTCAAACATAAGCACCTTAGATTAACGACCAGGTGCGCCGAGTGTGTTACGGCCCTCGTGATTTCTGTTCACAATCGGTCCACGCGCAAATTCGGTTCACTTGTGTGGTAAGTCAGTCCGTCAGGTTGTTAGTCTTATTTTCGGGACCCCTTTTATGCAGCTCCGAGAGCTTCGCACGTAATTTTGGTGATGTCCGGTGCCATTGAATTGCACAGACAAAGGTCTGGATGTTTTTCGTCCGGTTTTGCACTCCTACCAATGAGACCGTTTCTGTGCTCAGTTGTCCGGCAGGGCTCATTACGGGTTTCGCTGTTGTCAACGAAGAAGAGGCGATCTCGGGAACCATAGGCTTAATAGCCTGACCTTTCAAAAGCAAACAAACTTCCATCGTCGGAGGTGGGTTCTGTACGGCGCCTCGCAGTATTTATGGGTGTTGAGCATGCGGGAGTGTTGTCGTTCCTACTGCTATTCGTGCAGGATCTGCTGCGGGGGGAGAAGTTAATTGCTGTCGTGCTGGTCGGTCCCTTCCTCCGTTCGAGTGGGCTGTGTCGGGATGACAACGGTCAATGACCTCGTCTGCATTGCCCGCATTTGTTGTGCCTGACCCACGTTTCTCGTAATGGTCTCCCGTTTGCATCTGCCCGTGTGCACTTCGGTGATTGGTGGCCCGTCGCCTTTGTCTCCCTTATCGGTCTGCTGACCCCCGGCTTCGGTGTTTGGGCGCGAACTGTGTTCACTCGGACTTGTGGTCCTGACTTCCTGCCTTTGATTCCGTTGATTGAACCGCACTCGTAGGGCCTGGTAAGCCGCTGGGAGAATCGTGGAGCGGTTGATGGAAGTTGGTACGGTGTGCCAGGCTTCGAGCGTTTCCCTGACTGTCTGGTCGGCACCTCGGCCTAGGATTTCGGCGTTCTGGAAGGCGAAAGTGTGTCCGGAGGCAGCACAATGTTCCGCCACCAGTGAGAGTTGGCCCATCCTTTTCACTGACCTTGCGTGCTCACTCTTGCGGGTTTGTAGACGTTTTCTGGTCTCTCCAACGTAGTTCTCCTCACAGGAACTGCACTGGACACGGTAGACGACGTTTGCCGTTTCGCCTCGTGACAGAGGGGCCTTGGGTCTCATGACGAGACGTCTTATTGTTGCTTCAGGTCTGTGGGCGACGCCGATCCCCAGTGGTTGTAAGAGACGAGCGACTGCTTTGGATACATTCTCGATATACGGTAGCGCTCGCCACACTTTTGGTTCGTTGGCCTTACAGCCTTCTTTGGTTGCTTGCTGCGTTCAATGAAACTGCGAGGGTAACCGTTGGAGATGAACATCCGCCGAAGATAATGGAGTTCGGCTACTTTGTGGGCTGCTTCGCTGCAATGAGTTTCCGCCCTCTTGTAAAGAGTCCGCACACAGCTACGTTTGTGGCGCAACGGGTGGTTACTGTAGTAACTGAGGACCTGGCGTGTGTTGGTGGCCTTTCGGTATACCATCATTCTTAGGCTCCCGTTGGTTTTGCGGTGGACCAGGACGTCTAGGAGCGCTAGCTGGTTGTTGACTTCTGTCTACCTTGTGAACTGGATGTCCGGAAGAACAGAGTTCAGGATCGTGTGAAATTCGGAGACCATCTCCCGCTTGAGGATGACGAAGGTGTCGTCCACATACCGTGTAGTGTGTACGTGTGTGACTAAGGCTTGTCATTTATTCATTTTGAGCGAAGGAGGAGGGCGTGGGGCAAATTCTATTGCGCAATCGCCTCTGGCTAAAATGAACCTGACGCCCTTTATAAACTATTGCTGCGCCCAAAAATCCCCCACCTAGGAGGTTACCAAGTGATTTGGAAACTCGGTCGTTGAGACGGAGGGTGGGGCCGCAATGGCCTTTGTGTGTCCCCTCGATGGATCTTACAGTTATGATGTCAAAGTTGATTTGAGTAGGTTTCAGGTAGACTGAGAGATCAGTGCATAGATGGGGGTTTTCTGTCAGGTAAGTCAGCCTCCGTATCACTTCCTGTTCGTATCGGCTTAGTATTGCTAAGGAGAGTCCACGGGTTTGAAAAGAGGTAGGGATATCAATCCTGCGGAACTCTCCTTCGTTGTTATTCGAATGGCTGGCTAGTCATGGTGCTCGTCGAGGTCGACAAACGAGCTATCATGTACAGTTGCCATGATCGTAGTATTTGATCCCCCATGGCCCCAAGGTGGTCATAAGTTTGGCGCGCGTCTGGACCATGTATTTATACTTTCCTCAATCTACGAAAAAGAGTGTTTTGTCCTCCACTTTCCTCTCCTTATCTCCCTTTATCTGTTTGCCTTCTCTCTGAACCCCGGGTAAAAGCGGAATCTTCGGAATCCGGAGACGTCTACAGCGCGCGTGTCAACATGATGCAGACTCGAGAAATGCTGATTCGAGATTATCCCTACAAACAGGCCTACTGTCACACCTGTCGAATCCATCGCCCTCCGAGGGCCTCCCACTGCTCCATTTGTGATAACTGTGTTGGTAAGTTAGGTGAAGAAAAAACACCTGGACGTTTTTTTGGCGGCTGTTTTCGAGGCTGTTTTCCACACTGTACTGCCAACTATGCACACCGGCAGTCTCTGAAATCGACCGAGGCAGGGCGGGGGCGGTGATCTATCCGAGTCAAGTTGAGTGAGGATGAGATTGGTCGAAATGGCTGTCGTGAGGCGAGGTTTTAATTAAATGCACGCAAAAAACTTTCACACTTACGATGCATCACCCGCCACTACTGATGTTGGCAAACCTCTTTGTACCGCCTTTGTATTAGTAACCGGTGACGTTTTACTGACTGTTTCTGTGTATGCGTGTGCAATTCAATAGCCCCGATAAGCACCCGAATGTAGAGAAACGGTCTGAACAGATGGTGGTCAGAGCTCATCGCACAGGCATCCCAGTCCAGCTGTGATAGGTTCGCTAATGTCTGACCAGTATAGTGCGGTTGTTGTTCGTGAGGTAGCCACTTATTTGCACGGCGGAAGGTAGACGGACGTCGAACAGATGGGCCAGGTTCAGAATTAGGTCTGTGATTGATGGCGCAGCCATGTAGCTGGTTGGAGGTAACAGCGTACGTTGACTCGAGTTTCGCAGTTTCACAGATGCCGCACATGCCGACGGGCCAGCGTAGTCTATTAGTTGTTGGGAGAAGATCTGTCATTCAGTGGAAGTCAGTATTTTAGAAGTGTATTGCTGTCGTCCTCGATAACTCTATTAAAAGTTTGCAGTCGTTTACCAGAAGAACAACATTGTAAATTAGCAAGCAGATGACTATCCCATCAGGCCAATAAAGGCTTTGAATAAGAAATCTTACTAAAATGGAGCGAGTAGTATATGTACATAATTTTAGAGGGACTTGGAGACCCAACAGGACCCTTGTTTCCATCATGGGTCCTGCCCTGATGCACACTCTGCTTTTGAGGCAGGTGTTGACGCGCATTCGAAGGCCCTGTCATTTGTTACCATTGGTCAGGCAATTACTCTTTTCAGCACCGTTAACCCTCCGATAGCCTAGAAATCCGGTTTAATTATGGCTGAGCGCACGGCGGTTGTGTGGGATAGCCTGATGGATGGATGTTTTCTTATACTCCCCGGGGTTCAAGGACAAATCTCTCTGTCCAGCCCTCCTGCACGCCATTAGAATGTTCGAGGACTAGGCTGAACGGTTGCTGTAAGGCCTTATTTTATTCTGAGATACATTGACCATGTTGTGATGCCGACACAGTTCCCGACCTTTTAATTGAAAGCTTTTCTTGTCAGATCAATGCCCAGCCATGTTTGAAGATACTACCTTTTTTTCATACTAAACGACCTTATCTAGCTGGGCTTGCTCATTCCCCAAATGACCTTCGCTGGAGACTGTTCCGTCACCTGCCACATTTGTACGCGCCGGGTATCCGGCAATTAAGCCTGTGGGGAGGTCCCGTATTTTTGAGGATTCCTGCCCTCTCGGGCATGTTTGAGCTAGTATCCTTCGCATTTCAACTGTGTAGAGAATACAGCCTAACAAATCATGCATCAGCCTTTAGCTGGTCCAGTTGCGCTTATAACGGCGTTTTGAATACTGTATTTTTCATGATATATCTGCTGTGACCCAGAACCGTTTGTGCGGCACCGTGAGTGCTATGGTTTTATTTGAGCCAGCCGTTCTCGACCAAAATCTTATCATTGGCCACCGTCTCCCACAAAGATTCTGAGAGTCGAAGAGTTTGCCAGATTAGGGGATGATAGTGCTTATAATAATGACTGCTGGTAACGGTTGTGGCAGTGATGGTGATGGCGGCGAATAGACTGTCGACGATATCGACAGTTTAGAAGAAGACGAAGATGCGATCGCAGGAACAAGAAGTTTATCGGCCTGACGTTTTGGATTTTCACTCGAACCCATTAGCAGAGACGGTCGCGGATAAGGGTAGCGGAGGCGCAAATAATGCAGCATTTATAGTGCGTAGCTGCCGTGGGACCACAATCGCATTATAATTAACAGCTCTTGTGATCACCACTTGGGGTTGCAATTGATTCGATAATGGTTTGTTAGTCTGCGTCCGAGTTGTTAATCGCCGCAATTTCATCATCCGTATTGGATGTTGGGGTGATGATGACCAGGCAGTTTGGTTCGCTGTCACTGGGATTGTTGTTCGCCCGCGCCCTCCCCACATGACTGATTGCCATGATCAGGGAATGTCTCAGCACAGAATATGTCAGCAGGAGGTCATTACGTTTGTTGATGGATTGTAGGCTTGAGAACCATGACTCGAGCAGCTCGCGACCCACGCGGTTGCCACCTCTTACGAGGATTTCGGGGCCTGGAAACTTGAAAATATGGCCGGGTCCCGTCGAGCGTGCCGCCACCTGAGAGTTGGCGTCTTTCCTCCCCACTGCTGTTGCGTGCTCTGCCTTTCGCGTCCGGAGTAATCTCCCAGTTTCTCCGACGTACTTGCCCTGTCTGCGACTGCAGCAGGTCCGGTAAACGACTCCAGCCGTTTTCTCCCGTGGCAGTGGGTCTTTCGGTCTCATGACTTGGCGCCTGATGGTTGCTTTCGGCCTGTGTGCAACCCCAAATCCAAGTAAAGCTTTCGATACATTCTTTACGCAAGGAAGAGCTCGCCAAAATTTAGGGCCGGTTAGATTTGCTCTCCTCCATAGTTTGTGTATGTAATGGTCGACAAAGTTGCGAAGGTAGCCATTAGCCCTAAGTACCCGTCGAAGATATCATAATTCGACAATCTTGTCTTCCGCTTTACCGCAGTGCGTCTCAACGCGCCGGTATAGCGCCCTTGCGTAACTGCGTTTGGGACTGACCGGCTGCTTACTGTTGAAGTTTAGTACTTGTGTCGTATTTGTCGTTTTGGATAGGGAAGTAACCTACTGATCAAAGCTCTCTTAACAGAAGTAATACTTGCAGCGAAGTGGACAACGAGTCAGCGTTTTGTACGCGCGACATTGTTTTCGTTGCGAGAGACACCCCGAAATTATAGAAAATGTACTCTGACTGTGTCGGATTCTGTCTTCGCTGGCTGATCTATGCCCGATCTAGCTTTGCCTATCCATTTTAGAGCGTTTCGACCATCACTGTCCGTGGATTGGAAATTGTGTCGGAAAAAGGAATTACCGCTATTTTACCGTCTTCATCGTATCTGTTGCTGTCTACTGCAGCTACGTGATTGCCTTTGCGGCTGTCAACATTGTAATCAGTAAGCTCTCCCTGCCATTCCTTTGACGTACTGTCCGTCTTGCAGCGTATTTTTGCGTTTCCGTTTCTCAAATTTTAACGCACATTTTCCTCCTTCTGTGGGATTTATGTTGAATTCTACTTCACCCATTATGACGTCTACAGTGTGCGCTGCACCACAGACTCGCGAACTGTGAACATAAATCGCTGTAGCGCACGAAACGCCGCCCACCCCGCATCCACGAATGTTTTACTGCGTTAAATAAACGACCGAGCATCAAAAAAGGCACAGTTTGGATTACAGGGCATTATTTATTGACAAAGAAATAATTTATTTTACGTAGAACCGCCAAATCCAAAAAGTTACTCTGTGACAGGTCAATTATTCAAGGCTTAATATAACTGCCAGCAGAGAAGGGGAATGTCATAAAACGACAAACTGATGAAAAACAGTAACAAATACAACGTACTAGTACGTTATCGATTGCCCTTTGGCTGTTAAACTTGCTGTAAGGCGCGAGGGCATGGAGACTACCAAGTTGTCTGTGGTGGTTTGGTCAATATAATTACTGAGCAAAAAGTCCAACTTTTTCTCCATTGAAAGGTGTCTTCTTGCCTTTTCCCAATTTCTGTTGATTAATGCAAAAAGGTTTTCGATAGAATCCAGGTTCGGGCTGTTGGCGGGGATAAAACTGCTTTGAAGACCGCAGGCGGAGAGGCTGGTTGCGGTCTAGGATATCACATTATAGTCGTAAGCTGAATTGGAATCATACCTACTTTGGGCGGTGAACAGGGGCATTATCCTGCAAAATTACAGTGCCCATTTGACGTCGATGAATGCCGTTGTAACCGAAGGTATCCTTTACGACGTAGATGAACATCTCGCTATTCATCGTCTCCATTGCCGAACGCCAGACCGGTCGCTCTCCGAATTTGATAGCCATCCAAACCGCCAGGCGTCGACAGTTCTTGAGAGTTGGTGTCGATATAGTGTGCTCTCGTGAGAAGTTCCTCCCACATATGATCACCTTGGCCGACTTCGGAGGCTTGTCGAAAAATAAGACCTCATCACAAAAGTAAATGCTTTTCCAAAATGAAAGTCTGCGATCAATATATATTTGAGCAAACAAAAAACGTTCTCCAATAAGTTTCCTACCTAAGAATGGCTTTGTCATGGCGTTTTGCTGAAGGCCGAATTCTTTCATTCTTTTTCTAATCATGCCCAAAGAAAACATTGACAGGTGTTCCCTGTAGGTAGCCTCAAGAGGCATATAATGATACTTTTTCAGTGTCCGACGAATTAAATCGTCGTCTTGCTTGCTTGTGGATAGTTTTGACTCACCCGGCTTTAGCTCTAGGCACTGTTGTATTATTAATAACTTTCCAGGGAGTGATTTGGCTAATATTGAAAATACTAGCCAGTGACTCACTCTGCAGCCCTTCGGCTGCCAATTTTCGTATCCGCTCAAAGTCAACTTCCGATAGGAATTGTTTCGATATCTTTGTTGCACGGCATGACAAGGAAAAGTGGCAGTATGCAGCGCACAATCCATATATATGTGTTTACGCCTGCTAGTTCCTCGTGTAGTAAAGTAAATACTGTCGAACAAACTTATTACCGCGTTTATCGATATAAAGCGTTGCAATTTTGCTAAGTAGAATTTGTAAAGAGGAAATTACTTTCTGTTTCATGAACAGAATGCGTTTTTGCATATTTGCCTTAACCCACTGTTCATGAATTTCCATCTCCAGAGTGGGCGTCTTTGATATTTTTCTTGGTTATAGGAAAGTTCCCTTATGACGCAACGCGTGCAAATAAGAGGTTTTAATAGGCGATGCTTATTAAAGAAGGAAGTTACGTGGATATACGGAAACGTCGAAATTTGCCTAATCTTGGCCTGTCTTCCCTCAATAAAACTGACCTAGCATGACCTTTTCTTTAGAAAAGGGCTTTCTAGGATTCCAATCAATTCTAAAAGCAAAACTAACCACACCAAATGTTTGCCGCCCCACCAACTGAAATAGCGATCTCGATATTTCATGAGTTAGGTTATCTACTGTAGTTTGCACTGAGGGAGACTGGTGTAGCATCTACCACGCTCTCACTTCCTTCGCCCACATGGCTCTGATGGACAGGCATTGTCAAAACATCTGGCGATGGGCTCAGATGCGATGACTCCCGAAGCTAATCAGCTCGTTTACGCCTGCCACACAGGACTTGGCAGTTTACCGGATCTACGCAGAAATGGGGCTCGGATCTCGCGTTTGTGACAGTGTCATGGAGGTTCTGCTGAGATGGAGCCATTGAGTTTGACCTCCAGTCCTCGGGCTAGTCACCCCACATACACACAGTACTTACCATGAGGGCAGAGTTATCCAATCAGCTCAAAGCTTTCCAAGCCGCGGCTTCTAGCACATCGGAATAATTCCAAGCCAGGTCTGGTTTATTGTGCTGAGGGATGCGCTGACTTGGCGTGGAGATGGATTCCTCATTGTGGATAAGAATGAGCTGTTGGTAGCAGTGACGATGGTTAAGTGTCCGGCGAAGCATCCAAAGGTCGTCTTAATCACTGTCCCACTCTCTTAACTTGCGGGAGTTGTACCAAGCAGGGGAGGAGTGATTCCGCCGAAACATATTTTTTTCTCTATTCCCGCCTTCTTGCGCCACCAAACTCAAGAAGATTGTCCACCGCCTTTGGGGGTGCACCAGTCGACGTGCGTGGAACTACTGCTTTCTAGGTGCTTAGGCGGACGCCTCGTTTCTCCCTCCTAGTCCCTCCTCCAGTACACGAGTTTACAGTGCTCGCAACCGATTTGCCAGATCAGTACTAAGCCACGCCCGGATGTTTTACCGTTGCCTAATCTTCAGACCCGGCAACCTGCTTACTTCTCTTTTACCCTGTTCTACGTGCGTTGCAGACCACAGGGCCACCTATCGTCCCGTATTGCGCTCCTATTTTCCGCCTTTCTATGGGGTAAGCAAACATCTCGACCTCCCCCCTCTCGGCTGCCTACGGATTCGCAAAATGCGGCCTTAGATTAATACAGGTGTATGACCTTACAGGGATGGAGAACAGCTGAGCGACCGCGTCACTCGTTGGCTATGCGTGGACACAATACAGACGTGGATTAACCTTTTCTGGAACCGCCAAGCCGTGAGGATGTCGACCCAGCGCCTTGCCAGCCAGGCAGATAGGAAGAGCGGATAAATCACTACGCGGACAAATCCGAGACCTCGATGGGGGCAGTGATTGAACGCACAGGGTGACACATGTACGCTTGACTGACAGTCGTAGCGGCCGGTGGGCAGGGAATGCAGGAGAGGATCCAGGCAGTGCGCGCTAACTCCGATCAACCACCTGCGGTGCGTCCTCGTCAGAGAATCATTTTAGGCCTGGCTCTGCCCTTTCCTAACTGATGAGGGTAGTTAAAATAGAAGTGGCTGTTCTTGTTTTTTGTCGATACTACCACAGTTTTTTTTCAGCGTCCACAGGCTACCAGTGAATCTCTGCAAAGTTTGCGATAATCGATTGCAACAGGCGAAATGTCGGGTAGTTCGTAGAGTCTCAACAATTGCGGCCTTTTCAATCGATGCTTGGCCTAAAGGGGGGGGGGGGGGCTGAAGATCACGCAGCCCAGAACCCTGCACTTTTTTAGGAACCAAGAAGTAAAGAAGAAGAGTCGAGCACCGGAACACTTCTTTTATTATCCTGAGCTTTAAGACTCGTACAGGAGTCCATCGTCAGAGGTAGTGGCAGAAACAGGATAGGCGACAGTTATAAGGCACGTAGGCCCAATCATCGACCGACGTCGCACGACTGGAGGTGACTACGAAGGCCTCTGTACGCCGGCGCCAGATCGATAAATCGATTGACCGAGTTCTCATCCGAGGCCCAGGCTTCAATCAATTCTCGGCCTGGAACTCGAAATTTCGCCTTCATTCGTGAACCAAGAAGTTTCCGTCGATGTCCGCTAAACTCCGCTTCCAGTTAATGACATACTCTAGGTCAGTCCGACCTCTCAACTTCTTAAAACCCCAGCTGCGGGTCTTCTCGATCAAAACACTTTCCTGTTTTAACGTTGGTTCGTCAAAGTAGGTATGTTTCACGGAATGCCTTTTGATGCTTTAGGTAGCTGCCTTCTAGAATTCCTATTCGTGGTGCTCTGCCTTGGTTATTGGACAACCTAGAAATGACAGCCAAATTGGTTTGCGTCAGTAATGGGCGTTTACCAAGTGACATAATAATAGGCTATAATGCTAGAGTCCCCCGTGCAAATTCTGAAAATTAGTCGTTTCTTCGTCTTGGTTGTCCTCGAGGGTGGGCACTGTCACTGTTTTCGTAGCATGTGGACTTCCGTCAATTTTTTTATAATTGCATGTGATTGTTACTTTATCGCCCCTTTAAGGGTAAAAAAACACTTAAACATGTGACTGTAATAAGTGCGATTTTTGCGCAACTCGGCTGCCGTATGCGCGGATCTCAAACAGTTTTTTTTATCATATTCCTGTACATCTTTTTGCTGAGCCTAATTCTGCCCTTGAAGAAAGTAAAGTTCCGTCTTCAAAATTCGTCCTTGGTGCCTTGGGAACTGACACTCTTTACCCTACGGTCGTTCCCCTAGATTGTAGTTTTTTCTCCCTCGATGTGATAGTTCTGCATCCTCTGCAAACCTCAGCAGTAATTTTGAGTCCACAGTCTGTTACTTTAATTGGTTTCTTGCGACTATAGGAGAAGGTATCTGTCAGTTCTATAGATACTGGGACGTCGTCTGGTTGTTTTGTAGTCGCGTGACGGTCGTTTCGGTTGTGATTGTGAAAGCACTCAGGAGGACATTACTGACAAGGGAAGACCGGGTTGTCTGGCTCGATGATCCACCATAGTCTGATTTAAGATTCCGATCGCGCCCCTCCTCCCCCCTCGGGACGAGGATAGTCCCAGCTGGTGAGGTTAATTGAGCTAGAAGCGGTCGTCCATGGTTTTTTGTGGGTGCATTCGCCTCTTCTGGACGTTCGCCTGTCAGGACCTCTAGACAGGCCCGTTGTGCGTCCTATACTTGGGATGGGCAGGTGAACTCCACGTCTGCGTGACTGAAAATAGCCGAAAATTTTCTGCCCCTCTTTTTTACTTTGCTTCCTGACAAATTTCTGTTCTCACGTGGGCTTTTTTGTTACTTTCCAAACACACTTTCTACTCACCCTATGGTAGTAAGCTGATATCTTGCCTCTTTTCGTCTTTAGCCTACCGGACCAAACAGGACCTCATCGAGACGCTGAAGATGACACCAGCATCATATCCTTCTGTTTTCAAACTATTGTCGACTTTAAATTCAGGGTTTGACCTCCTACCAAGCTACGACCTAGTGGTCTTTCTTTTAAGTGGTCTTTCAAGTCTAGTCACAGAAGGTCAGTATTACGACCCTCCCCCCCCCCTTCGTAGAAGCCGCCACCCGCTAATAACGCGTCGCGCTCAGCAGTTTTCCCTCATATTCCACACGGGTCTCTGCAGATCAGAGTTGAATTCTTAGGTCATGCTACTTTCCAGCTGTCTTCATCTTCAAACAGTGCTGCAAGGAACACTACCCAGTGAATTAGGTTTTCTAACAGTTGAGCTCCGTCTTTTGTGCTACTTAAATCCGCATCAGTGATAAACTAGTCAGAAGAAGCGATCGTTTCAGAAAATCGGGAGGACTCTGGTGGTTGCCCTGGAGTTCTCAGGACCGGACAATCAGCGTGCCTTACCTGCCCACCTGAACAGTCATTCTCACCCGTGGCTGGGTGGAACACCGCTCGGCGGAACTCCCACACATCCCTAACACGTCGACCGACGGACGAAAGCAGATTGTGGCATTCGAGGTAGATGCCCTTCTGGATTTTTGTGTGAAGTCTACCCTAGGCAGGCAGGAGGGACCTTCTTTTTCGCGTCTCAGGTGACCTGAGACTTGTTACCGTATCATGGTGGAACTGCAAACATGGCGCCAGTCTTGCGCGTGACCTCACGATAATCTCTCCCACCTACAGGCTAATATTTATCCCAATCACCCCGACGGAAACAAGTCCAAGTCGTTGAGGTTTAGCACTTACTCCAGTGTAGCTTTTTCCTTCAAACAACCTTGGAGAGTTGGTCAGCTGGCTTCGGACGAACGAGCTAGTAGCCTGAGGTTGAGTGTTCCGTTAGGCTCTGCCTCGGTTTACCTGCTGTTCCCCTACTTTTGGGTCCTCGTTGCACTAAGCATCAGTTTCGTGCCTGTGTATGCACACACTAGCCTCTAAAAGGAGCCACGTGGTAGATGCGTTGGACCAACAGAGGGGGGGGGCCAGATCGAAGTCCGGTAGGTGTTATCGAGAATACACACCGATGACAAGTGTCAACATTTGGTTGTGGCGGCATTCCCAGTTACTGGCTGACGTCGCGCCGATTTAGATTCGTGCCGTCCCATACTTGTTGTTTAAAATCCTGGTCAGGTGGTTGGTGTGGGCCAGGGGATGTGGTGGTACGCCTAGGTGCAGGTTCACGCCACGCTAGTCACTTACCGCCTTCCCTCGCCGTCGGTCATCTTGACTCTGTCTTGACACCGGGTCCATGGGGGGGGGAGGAAGAGAGAGTGCGGTAGATGTTGCGCAAGTCTTTTACTGCCATAAACTAATTCACCGTCCCTGCTCTCACCCTGCTAGGGAACAGACGGTAGACATCGTCGAAATCAACGGTCGAACTGCCATTAATTCATTCACACCAGCACTCTTCTTAGTCTGCCTATCCTTAACCAAAACGTTTCTCTGCTGGTTACTCGCTACCCACGTTGATTGAGATACTTGTTGCCTTCTTCTCGATGCTCTCGGTCGTCGGATTGTCCTGTTTCCACATCTCCATCAGCTGTCGAGAATTCTCCACCCATGAAGATGTGAGTTTAACTACCTACCAGTACCCTTTCTCCCTCGGTTACATCGACAGGTGTGCATCCTTTTGCCTTCCTTGCTATTGTTAGCCGTCCTGGGCAATCATTGTTATTTAAAAACACCTCCATTTCCACCTCCTGACTCGCGAATTCCCGCCAATTTTGTGCCCACATAGGTTTGTCTCCCTACCTCTCCCCATTTTCTCCCTCCCCAACAATCCACTACTCCCTGCCGTGTAAAAGTGTGCTGTCGTCCAAGCTAAGCGGACGCCTGCTCCGACAAACTGACACTTAAACCGTCGCAGGTAACGAAATCCATCGTCCTACCAGACGAAGCGTGTTGTTTGTCTACTTCACCCTCACTTCCCACATTTACCGCGTTCCTATAACAAGGTCAGGACAGCTAGGGAGGTGGCCGACAATGCCAAAAGAGACCGTCTACGCGTGCCACACACAGCCTTCCCCTTAAGTCCACACGTACTTGGCTCCACTGAGGAGCATCTACGGATCTCAGATGAGCAGTAATGCTATCAAAGCCTTTTCAGTCCAACCTTCAGCCTTGAGTGGTATTGATCCAGCCTGTCATCCACCGGCCTTTAAGCCACGACTTTTAAGACGTCGTAATAGAGTGAAGAATGTCATGTTTACTATGGTGCAGATTGCGCTAATCCCTTATGAAGAAGAATGCTGTCGTCTGACTGACTGCTTGATTGGGCAAAATGATTGAAGTGGCGCGAGAACCGCGCCGGCCGCGTATCTTAGGTGTGCACGTCATTCGTTAGGAACTCACACAGACTCGGCGCAGCCTGAATAACACATGACGTGAGCCAGTACGATCCCACAACGGCACAGCCCGTTTCTCGACACCTTGGGCTCAGCATCACTCTCTGCCGCCCGTCAGAACCGCAACCCTTTGTGTGCACCTGACGCTCAAACCCAAGACAGTTCCGATTCTCAACTAACTGCCCCCAGGAAATGTTTGTTTTTCGCCTGGTACGCCGTCCATCCTAGTCTGTCTAACGGATCATTTCCATGAAGTCCGCATTGCCGTTTTCTCTCAAACTACGGCTAACATTTGTGCTTTTGGTCATGGTGATTTTGGTCGTGGTGAGGATTATGATGGTGGTGGTGATGATGATGATGACGCTGTTCGTTTCCTTTTTGCCGGCAGCGAAGCCAGTATATAAACTAAAGAACAATGCCGTACGCACCCTCTCCCCATCCTCTCTGCCGACTATGTCTTCTGCATCAAGTGGTGCGTCTATTTATCAGCTTGTGCTTTATCTCAAACTTTAATCCCGTCTAGATTCGTGGCCTGCCGCGACTCTTGAAACAAGCCAACCGGAAAAACCCCTTTTCACAGGGCAGCGGTTGTAGGAATATGTGCTACGTGCTCTGCGGCCCAGCTCCACCCAGGTACTTTTGTATTGCCCCTAAAACTTTCCTATCCACTTTTTTTTATATATAAAAGTACTTTCAAGTTCTACAAAAGACCTCTCTTTGGTGTCTTTTGAAGCCACGTTAAGGATAGTGCAGCTAAGAGCCTGGAGTGTTATCACCTTTAAGTTGTGTCCGGACAATGTCTTCGGGTGAGAGAAATGTCTGAACGTTTATTGGCAACTCAGACATTCTATTTTATTTACGAGTTCTTTACATGTAGCTCCTTCATCGGACGCCCTATTTCACCCTGAGGTTTCGGTCTAAAGTCCTCTCCAGAGGTTGAATAGCGCCCAGCAGTTGATGGTTTAGACATATTACAAGCGAACGAAAGGGTGGCCATTTCTAGTGTGTTTGCTATCCCTCACAAACCTTCCCCTGATCTTATCGGGGAATACCTGGATCTCCCTACTTCATGCTTCAACCAGGGTAGGTCGACTAACGGTAACTCCTACATGGTATAGGCTATTCCTGAATACAGTTGGCAAAGCGTTAGCCCCCGACTCAACAAATATAATGTTTGTTTCAATAGCCAGCTCCTCGCGTGTTATGATGTCTGGTCCTCTCAGCCCTGGATTCGAATATGGCTAAATGTCGGAGACAAATGAGGTCAGAAGTGACTTTCCTATTCCTGTCTATCTCTGTTGGTAATTCATTTGACGCAGTTGTGAGAAACTCTGAGACCTCAGTGGAATTGGAACCCACGACAACAAGGGATAACCTTGAGTACAGTCTGCGCTACAAAGCTCCGACTGAGAGTTATGCGTTTACTCACATTAGGGTCAATTCACCCGTGCAACCTACTGCAACCTATGGAATCTACCAATTTGGACACAACAAGCGGGCCGCCGTATGTCTATCGGGTCCAATTAGTAGGTGTTTTGCAATTGGTTCAACTAAATTATTCAACCTGTCCAAACACCTGTTAGTAATATTTATCGACTTTTTACTTTGGTATCTTTGGATTCGATCGCAACTTATTGCAGAATGGCTGCCGGAGTCTAGCCCGGGTTAGGAAGTTTGTTCTTTTTGATCAAAGCATGAACCCATAGTTTCCGTTATTTTTAAATCGGCACTTGCAAATGATCCTATCGAGTTACATTTCCTGGCGCCCTCCACCTAATCAAAAAGTAGGGGCACCTGACACCCACATATAATCTCTTCCCACATTGCTTTTCACCGTAATGTTTTGCCGTCGGTTGAAATATCTTTCGTGCACGATTCGGCGCCATGTTCAGTTTATATGTAAAGCTGGGTATGATTGGTATGTCGTGTGAAACCTGACAGGAAATAACATATATGTTATGACCCATAAGAAAGGTAGGACAGGAAGAGAGCCGGTTCGGAGGACGAGCACTTTATTGGTAACTCGCAGACACGAGGGATCAAGGTGCGCTATATATATTGGCTCCTGTGCGTTCTGGACCATTCCGTCCAATGACGTGCCAGCCGTTGAGGGCGTTCTAGAATGTTCCTGTCCCGCCTTGCTGATGGCCGATTGGCCACCGCGTGCGCGATAGCCCCCCACCGTGGAAATGTCTGGAATGTTCGACCAGCCGTTGGTTGGGCCGCACACGTGAGCAAAGCCACCCCACGTGCTCGGCGCTGCAGTGCACGCCGGTCGGCCGTCTAACCTCACGCGCGTCTCACGCCGCCGGCTTGGTCCCCTGCTCAGCGCCTTAGGCCGTGGCTCTACGCCGCTTGCACTCTCCATCTCACATAAGTGTGGATCATGTCATTAGGCCTAGCTTGGTCCATGAAGCGGGGACCAGATCATGTGTGGCGCAGATAGGTTCTTGGTACGGCTGCGATCATGTCTGATCTAGCCGGCTTCGATGATATCACAGACTGCTCCGCTCTTCGACGCCTCCGAGTGGGTAACGGTGCATGGTAAAGGACGGCAATACTTGAGCTCGTGAGGTGGACGACTAAGAACGTGTCCAAACCACCGCAGTCATCTTTCATGGATGGCCTGAGATATCCTTACGATGTTCTTGCAGCGAGTACGCGCTGTGTCATTTTAGACGAAGTGGTGGTCAAATACCCCCAGTTTTTGCCCATATTCCGCCCGCACAGCTCAGCCCTCACATCCGTACACAATGACTGACCGAACGGGATGCACGGTACATGCGAATCTTTGTGATGATGGAGATGTCGTGTCGGTTCCATAAACACTTTCGAGGGCCTGAGAAAACCCGACGGGCAGTATCTATTCGGAAAGCGTTGTCGTCCTTATTCTGTTCACTCGGAAACAGCCTCGCGTCTTGGCACTTGAAACTCTTTACATCTTCAAGTTGCCAGCCATTAATCTCGAGAGGTGCCTTTTAATAAGGGATACAGCTTGAAAACACTTTGATCTTCCCACCGTTTGCGGATAAACTGACGGATGATTTAGCAACCTCACTCAGTCGTGACACCACAGACTGTAAATCGCCACATCTTGGAGCTGGCAAAGCGACATCATCAGCGTAGTAGAGATCAGTCAGCCGGCGACCGGGTGCAAACTCAACACCGTCAACTTCGTGTTGGCTGTTACCCAGAATCCAATCACTGGCATAGTTGGACAGAGTAGGCGACAGGATAAAACCAGACTGGATATCGAACGGCTGGGAGAGATTGCTACGGACCAGAGCTCATGCGGTGGTTTAGCGGTAGTAGGCCTTGTCATGGCCATGATTCTGGCTGGCACACCACCTTGCTCCATTATTCGCTACAGGAGCTCACGACGAGCGAAATCCAATGCAGCGGCGAAGTCAGGAAAACAGATGACCGTCTGTTAAAAATGGGTGTGGTACACGTGGACAGGCGCTTCAGCCTTTTTCAGCCACTGGGCTCGCATCCGCCTCCGGAACATTGTGTGTGTGCGTGAGGACGGAGTGAGCGAGGTAGGTGCGGAGCAAGAATGCACTACTATAAACAAATGCGCTCCCAAGTCACCGCTACTGGGCCCATTTCGTGGGACAGTGGTGTACGTAGTCGCTATCGACGGCCGAACTGTCGTGTAGCCCCGAGGCCACCCTGTGGAACAGCACAGTCGAGAGCTCCCCTTACTCCGCAATTTTCTACGCGTGCACGCAGACACACACACACACACACACGTACATACGCCAACCACCAGCAAGTCATCATGCTTCATTCACAAAGCAGGTATACGATGCAACTCGCCCCAGCATCGTTATGACGCGTAAATCATCATCTGTAGGCACGTGCGCGTCTTCGGTGGAGTCATGTGGAAAGGGTGCAGAGACGAGCAACAAAATTAATAAGAGGTCAAAATGCACTGCCATACGAGATCCGTTTAACTAACCTTAATCTCTATCCTATGAGTTATAGGCAGTTGCGCGGAGACATGATACAAACTTTCCGTATCGTGCGTGGCTTGGACTGCGCCTTTCGGTGCGATGAATTTTTCCAACGCGCCACAATAACTAACCTCCGGGGACATCCCTTAAAGCTACGTGTGCCCCAGGGTAGATTGAATGTGAGAAAATATTTCTTCCCCAACCGTATCGTGGAACCGTAGAATAATCTGCCCGAGACGGTTGTCATGTCTCAATATATGGCGACATTTAAACGTAGGCTTCACAAACATGCTACAACACCAAGCGGACTATGTGACCTTTTAGCCATGAGACCAGTGGCATATGCGAATCAGTGCATACATACACTTACTGCTGTAATTTCTTAACATTCTGCTAGTTTATCGATTCTTTATGCACAAATAGGGAGTTCAAAGGCGTAAGCCTATTTCCCTCAAATACACTGACTGACTGACATAGCAGTAAAATGATAATATTTTTGACGAGCACCCATCTTAACGCATCTCGGGGTTGCCATAAACGAACGCTTATCACTTGAATCTCGGAGACCATTAAGCTAAAAAGAACACTTGTTTTTTTTGATAAAATATCTCTGAACTCTCGACACCCAATTATGTGGAATGACCCTGCATGAAGCATCAAAAAAATATCGGTACTGTTAGGTATAGCGCAAGTGGTCTCACAAAAAGCGGCGTAAGCCAACTATTCCAATGTCAGTCTAAAAATCTAAGAATAAGGCAGAATGAAAAAATATGTGCCAAAAATAATATCCGAAGCTACGACGTGTAAAATAAAATGATATAAAAATAGCCGCTTTCGAAACGCTTGTTTATTGATTGCCTGTCGTGTTGAAAGATTACGGAACTGTGCGATCCATCAGAACACATTCATGATCCTTGGCAAACTCATTTTCCAAAGTGCTCTACTGTTCAGCAATATAACGACTTAGTGGACAATTTTTTCGTGGTTTACTGAATATCACAGGACACCCTTAACAAATTAATTTGTAATCTGTCATTCCCTGAACGAAATGTGCAATATTTTGTCGACTGTTTGCCGTCGTCATGATTTCCTCTCTATCGACGCAATCCCTCTTTCCAAAATGCGCAGGCCATTGCTGACTGCCTGTTTGAACCAAAGAACAAGACTTAACTTTGAAAATGTAATACATTTCACCCACCTTTTCGATCTTAGCTTTATACACCTTGCGACGCTTTTTTCCTTGAATGCTATATTACGTTCTGTGCTCTCAAAACGGGCCACGTGTTAGATGCGCTGGACCAACACGGGGGCCACATCGGACTCTGGCAGGCGTTATCTTTGCGGAATAGCAAATGCCAACATTCGCGGGGTGCGCTGGCGGACCCTGTTGTCGGCATTCGTCGCACAACTGGACCACTGCCACCACCCTATTGTTTTGTGGTTGAAATCCTGGTTATTGTTGTGTGGACCAGGGGGTGTGGTGGAACGCCAAGGTGAGGATCCGTCCGAGCCATCCACCTGCGGCCTCCCTCGTCTCCGCGGTCTTCTTGACTCTGTCTTGACACCGGGCCCAGGCGGGGGAGGAGGAGAGAGTGTAGGTAGATGCAGCGCAAGTCTACCGGCACTATAAACCCCTGCGCAAGTCACCGTCCCTGCTCCCAACGCTGCTGCAGCTGTGGGGCATACGTTGGACATCGTCGAAATCGACGGTCGAACTGTCATGTGGAATCGAGGACCGGGTTGCGTGTGGTATATGCAAGCGGGGGGGGGGACAGTCGCAAGTTACGTCAGCCCCTTCATCACATGCCCGGTCTAACATGGATAGGCTATAGGTGCTTGGAATAGAAAGGAGGGTGGGGTCACCCCAACTTCGACCGCGCGCTTTATTCCTCACTATAAACACCCAAGCGTGCTTTTCGGCGCTGCGCTAACAGGCAGGCTTTTTGAAGGTGGGCATTTTATTGGAAAAACTCGGTTCAGCGAAGGGCTAAAGGGATGGCGGAGTCAGATTGCAATAGCTGCTTCTTAATGTGGCCTCTACAGTACTAATTTTCCTGCAATCTCATATCCAATAAATGAAAGCTGGTGCACGTGGGGTCAGGAAATGTGCGGTGGATTCCACATTCAGACGACCTGTTTAACTCCGCTAGGCACTGTGCCCCACCCCTGCCTGCAGTTGTATTGACTGTGCTGCAGGCGGCGAGTGTGGGAAAGTCACATCTCTTGTTGTAACAGTGAATTTCGTTGCCTACGACGGTCAAAGCTGGTTGCT